TAGCCGTAATTGCTCGGTTGCCTTCCGCAGCTCTCCGCGTCATAGCCAGGGCAATCTTGACTGCAGTTGTCGATGCTCTCGACGCTGGCCGCAGCCGGCTGGACATCGGAACACCAGCATAACTGGTATTGTACAATGGCAAAGGCAGAGTCTTTCTGAATGCAGTAGTCAGAACAGAGGCCGAGGCTCTGCCATTGACTGTAGTCTGGAGAGACTGGTCAGCATTGTATGAGTTTGGACGGGACATCTGGACATACTGGAAGCCATCGTTGCTGTGTTGACAGTCGAACATAGGCTCTGCCTCAACGTGTCGCGCCGCACGACGCCATTAGGGGTTTGTCCGGAGTGTGTCCACAATGGCATGAGTAGGGCGGCGAGGCCCATGATCTGGAGGGTGCGCAGCAAAGAGTCCATGATTTCTGGTGTGTCGATGCTAATTCTGGAAGGATCACCTGGTCAGTCTCGTTCTCGTCTCGTGGCGGTACCCGTCGTGAGTAGTTCGGGGAGTGGGCAGAGGTCAACGTACGTGGGCCGCAACAATCAACACTTCGTCACTGGCATCGAAGAAATTGATGACAGCGGAGGCTCGAATCGGGGCGTGGGGCTCGGAAGTCTAAAAGCGAGACGCAGTGCAGCCAGCTGTTCCCATGACACCAGGCAAGTGAATGCTTTGGTGATGCCGATTCTTTCACCGTTGCAGCGTGAAAGATAAAACGAGTCCTCCCAGCAGAATAGCCAGGTCGATGGCCAGCAGATGGGTGACTAGAATCAGGAGTCTAGGCCGGATTGCTAGCCGTTTGGTTGCTAGGGTCGTTCGGAACACGGGTCTCAGGCGGCAGGCGGCAGGTCGGGTGGCCGTGGAGAAGCAGGTGTGCTTGCGTATCCCTTAGGCGTGTTGTCGTCGTCGTCGTCTTCGCCGTGATGATGCTGGACGCCGAGGGAGGGCGAGGGAGAGAGAGAGAGAGTCGGGCGTGTCTGAAGATGTAGTTGGAGAGACAGGGCACAGCACACTGGCAGGCAAGCCGAGTCGGGATTGTTGGTGGAGGAGAGGAGGGCAGGGAGGGCGAGGCGCGGAGGTTGGCGGCAGCGGGGCCAGGCAAGCAATTGGGTGAAAAAGAAAGTCGAAGCAGCGTCGCAAGCAAAGCAAGGCAGCGGACAAGCAAAAGTTAAAGCGAGTGGCAGAATAGTGAACAAAGGCGAGGTGAGGAAACGAATGGGACCTCACACGCACATGGATGAGTGAAAGATGGGAAGTGGAGGTGGACCTAAAGCGACAGTTGGGAGACCGATAACCTGTTCGTCGTGCTTGTGTCTGTTGCCCAGAGGCACCGGGAGCGACCTAGCACAGAAGAAGCGGAGACCAGACGCGACGCTAGGCAGGGAGCATGGGGCGTGGGCTGCGAGCGTTGTGCGACAGTGATGGACAAGCTCCGTCCAGCTGTCCAGGGCTCGGGCTAGGCAGAGGGTGGCTCCCACGTCGTGGGTCGTACTGGTGGACCTGGTAGATGGGGGACAGGCCTGATCCTGTCGTTGCAGGATAATGAGGACGCAGGTCTCGGTCGTTTCTCCAGAGTCGGTCTGTTGTGCTCAAGGTAGGCGGAGGCGATGGTGCAGGTTGGCGAAGGGGAAGAGCACGAGAGGAAACCAAGATGGGAGACGGCATACACAGAGAGCGGGAGAACAGGAGGAGGAGGAGGGAGCAAGAGTAGGAGGCAGGCGGGTTCATCCACGATCAGAGATCCACAATCAAAAGATCCACAATCCACCGTCTACTGTTGTCGGTCCACAATTTCCAGCGGAAGGTAGAACGCACCGAGAGGGCAGGAGGGGGTGGGGGCAGAGGCCAGGCACGATGCTGGCTCTGGTAGTGAGTACCTGCCAATAGAGCGAACTCACAGGGCAAAAACGTTTGCACCTGAACCGCCCGGGGCACCTACATGTGCCTGCCGTGGCAAAAGCCAGAGAGATACTGACTTGGCAGCCGACCAGCCAGCAGCGAAGGGGTGGGTCTACAGCGAGCTACCCTCCCTACCTTACCTGTATGGTACCTTAC